GCGGCGGCGGCGGCTTCAACAATAAATCAGTTTGAGATTATGTCAGTTGATGGGGAACCACTAGTGGTAGGTCAATTATTTTGGTATGCTGATGTATTAGCATCGACACATCTCCTTTCTATGGAGATTTTTAGTCCCGCGCCCTCAGTAATGGTCTATGGACCTTGATTTTTTGCATATTTTACATGATAAATTGTGTGATTGGATAAGTTTAAGATGAACCACTAATGTTAAGTCAATTATATTTGGTATGCAGTTGTATAAGCATTTGTAAGTCTAATTTCCATGGAGAATATATGGCCTTGTCCCCTCATCATGGTTCAATTATTTAGAAACCTTTGCATAGTTAACAAGTTAGAGTTTGTGTTTAGGTTAGTTTTAAGCAAATCATTTATGATAAGACAATAGTATTTGGTATTCAGTTTTCTAAACATTAGGAGTTTCTCATTTCCATGGACGTTATATGGCCTTACACCTTCAGTCATGGTTCATTGACTTGGAATGTTTTGCAAAGTTTACATGTTTAAATATTGCCATTATAATTTCAATATTTGCATTATACTATCAAAATTACAAAAAAAGCATGACATATCTCTTTGTCAACAGTTTATTGCTATTGTGACAGTCTTTCAAAATTATTAGACTTTATTCGTGAAAAATTAAAATCTATTTCAGATAGCATGCAATTACTCCAGTATGTTTGCACTTAAGTTTTTTCCATAAAGTCATTGTTGCAGAGATAAATATACAACACAGATGCGAGATTCATAATGCGTGAAAATAAAACAAGACATTTTTCACTTTATACAAAGGTGAATGTATTACATAGATGGTAAATCTGATTATTTTTCTGACCTCATAATGTTGAGTCACTTACTCATGAAAGCTGTTACATTACTATCATAGCAAAATCATAGATGTTAGATTTATTTGAATTTGTTCATTCGTTGAGTAAAATTTTTTCTGGCAATTTGTTCACAATTCTGACTTCGGAGAAATGATGTTACATCTCTTCTTTTTACTGCAAGGTAAGAACCACTGTAATTTTATGGTAAAGGATTATTATATAAACCTTTTTCTCATTTTCAGTCTTCTTTTCAGGTACTAGATAAATGCATTGACCGAACGTTATTTTCTGTTTTGTTAAATTTTAAAAGTTTAGAAGTTTTGCCCTGGCAAAGTTAACCTTAGATGAATGTCAGATAATAGTATGTTTATGTCCCTTTTTGTCTAATTGTTCTTTACGTGACTGACTTTCAAAATGTTTAATTTTGAGCATTCCTGATGAAGGTTAAAACAGAAAACGCTACGGTCGCACGAAATTTAAAAAAGTGTCATTTTATTTACTAGCACTGGGTCGATACCGTAAGTCCCGAATGGTATCACCAACACAGTAGTCGGTGCTTCGGTACTTGCATGATTTTTAACAACTTTTCTTAAATTCTCTGTTGATAGATTAAGAAATTATACAAAAAATAAGGTTCCAACTCCTCAGTAAAAGTTGATCTCATATGAATTTGGCTATTTTCAGGTCCCGTTTTGTCATATTGCTCTTCATGTGTTTAGGTTTTATACATCCCGTCCTTTCCAAAATGTTTAGGTTTGAGCATTCCTGGTGAACGTAAATCCAGAAAAACGCTTCAGATGCTCAAAACTAATAAAGAGTTATTTTCCTTAAATACTCGAATGATAGGAACGTTCTCAAAAGTTTTTTTAAAGGAGATTATGTCTGTTTCTTCATTAATATTGCAATAAATGTTGTAAAATTTTATTATTTTATTGCGATCCTAATGAACTTTTCCACAGAGTCATCTCCTATTGGTCAATCTATTCAAACTTTTGTCAGTTCTATTGTCCCATTGAGTAAATACAATAGCTTTTGATCTCTGTGTAGTTTATTCACTGGGACCTTTAAATTTCTTCTAATTTCATTGATTAATTTACCTGAGAAAAAACAGTATCTTCTAAATAGATGAACATACATGTTTCAAATCACAAAACTACATGTGATGTTGTATTTATTCAATATCAATAATATATTTTCAATCTGTGGAAAAGTTTCATTTGGTTCGCAATAACGCACGATTGTCAAGACTGCCTTGCCTGATTTACTTAAATTTTCCAAATTGTTTTAAAGAATGATGGCCTAGGAATTGTATTTTTGAAACGGTTTTCAATTTTTCGTTCCAGCATTATCATGATTATAGGACATAAATCCTGAAAAAAAGTATTTTTCTCATTTCGGACATAAACAAGAGTATTGATGAGGGATTTATTTCAAACTAAATCAAATCACTTTTGGTTTGGCGGTCTTTTTGATGATTTCCATCTGTCTACTTCTACAGTTATGTCACTTTGGTCCTTGTAAAATATATTTGTCGCATATGCCTTGAATGATTTATATCTTACTTCACTTTAAATTATTGATAATGGTGGTTTCATGGTCTTTATTCTCGTTGGCGATCCTCACTTTGATTGATCAGCATTATGTTGATGCGATAACTTAAGTTGGACATTGATCTTTAAAATTCAATCAGGATGAGTGAAGCAGGCGAGATATTTCTGCGTGATTTGTTCGCTGAGTTTTTATCTCCAACTTAATGTCAAGGCGAGAAAAAGGTGTGCTGTTTTAGGCGTTGGAATTTCCCTTAACTGTTTACTGTTAAAAGTTATTATAAGGTTACACAGATGAGAAATATCTCTGTATTAGCAGTTCATTATATAAAATGCTGATAAAAAGATAGTATTGCACCTATCGTATATACGTGACATATAATGTCTTAAAATTATACAGATTTTTATGTTTTTTGCCAAAAAATAAGAGTATATGAACGGGTAAATTACTGTTTAAGATAAAGCAAACCTCTTTAGCTGGTAGCCGGATTTTGTAATGAATTTAGAGGATGTTTGTTTATAGAATGGTTTCAGTAAATGTTGTTGCATGTCAACGCTGTAACGTCAAGTCAAGGTAACTGGTGTCATATACATTTGATGTTGTTAATTTTGTTTATTTTGTTATGCTAGATATAACTCTGATACAGTTCAAAATACGTTGGAAAAGGACTATTGATAAGAAATAAACTCTTCAGTTTAGCTCACTGCAGTTGCGACAACTCTATGATGGATTCATAGGTGGCTTGGCATTAGGCAAATGTCTTTTAAGGATTTCCAAAAATACTACCTTCGTTTTCTAATGTTAGTCGATCATTGGCAGATTTTGCCTAATACATTTAATTGTTGATTTGTCCTCGTCCTGAACTTGCATGAAATATTTTTCCACTGGATACACAGAAAAAACCAATCAATCAAGTTCATTCATTAAAGAACAGGAAGTGTCTATTTTTGCAAGCATCTGAGGTCATTCTTTGTTAAATCGCTGCGAGAAGTTTCTTTTCTAGAACGATTGAAGCAAGTAAGATCACATTAAAAGACTAAACACGCCGGTGTATTAAGATTAATACTTTGGTTCCAATTGAATAATAAACTTGATTGATTGATTGTTGCCTGTCTAACGCCCAATGAAACATGACATTCAGGATATCAAACATGATCTTTAGGATAACAAACATGACCTTTATGATAACAAACATGACCTTCATGATAACAAACATGACCTTCATGATAACAAACATGATCTTCACGACAAAATTGTTTTTTTTTATTGACTGAAATGCATTGGCGTACCATAATAGTGGCGTACCATAATGCAGTGGAAGCAACTGCTTCCAATTCTTTTTGACAGTTATGATTTTTGATTCATGATTTTTTTTTCTGAAGGGTTCCTCTGGGTATAGAAATTGGTCTCAGTTTTTTTGTCTGGAGGTATTGTTAAACAATCATCCACAAGGGACCACTGATCCATTTAGCTTCGGGGAATTTATTAATACGCAGCCACGTACGGACAATACTTTAATTTCCTAAAATGCGTATGTTTTGTGTAGCAACAGTGCTCATTGTGGTTATGACTACACGTTGAGGGATCACTCGGTGGCCTTGTGGGAGGCCAATTTTTTTAAAGGATTTCCAAAAATTCCTTCTTTTTCTTATTGTAGTCGAACATTTCAGATTTTGCCTAATATATTTATTATACCCAAAGCAAAAAAGTTGCGTAGGGTATACAGTTTTTGACCAGCCCGTACCTTTAGTCCGTCAGTCAGTCCGTCCGTCAGTCATGTTCTTGTCATCGCAGCTCATCCTAAAGCACACAGCAGAATTCAATAAAACTTTATAGATAATAAGGACATACTATGTAGATGTGCTTATTAACAGGAAATTATGATTCAATTTGTTTTTTTGAGTTATGCCCCTTTGAACTTAGATTTTTGGCCTAAATATAGTACTGCAACAGTTTGTCATTGCAACTCCTCTGAAACCACACAACAGAATTTCATGAAACTTAGTAGATAATAAAAACATAATATGTAGATGTGCATATCCACAAGAAAACTTTTATCAGTTGACTTTTGTATATATGAGTTATGAATCTTTGCACTTAGGAATCTGGTGAGATTTTGTTTGCCCAGTGACAGTGCAGGGGCGTTGGGTACGTGAGCATGCTCATAAAGTTCTTTATAATTAGTTGTTGATTTGTCCTCGTCCTGAACATGCATGAAATATTGTCCACTGGATATTTACCAAAAAATCAATTAAGCTAATTAATTATAAGTTGATAGTTATCTGCATAATTTGTGTACTCTTTTTCAAATGTTTGTGATTTTACAAAAGTAAAAAATCGACCTTGTGCCAATGTAAAATAATCCAAAAATATCAAACTGAAATCAATTCTTTTTGATGTGCTCCTTAAACAGGGTGAATTAAAAAAAAAGAAAAAGAAAACTACAGAAATGAAGATGAAAACAAGTAGCGTCTATCGATAATAATTGTAAGATAATTTTTAAAATACTTTTATATTCTACGGATTGACCAAGCAGTATATATCAAGAAATATTGCATAATTTATCTGAACCATGCAATAAATGAAAGAAATGTTTATTTTACAGGTTTGTCATATTTCCAGATGACGTTTGGGTATATTGGTAGGTGTGCATTCCCATGTGGTTTGCAGGGGAAATCATTAGTTCCAGTTATTGGAGGAATTTTCCAGTCGGGGTCGGTAATCGGGGAGTATGGAATTGAAGATCCATCGATTCTGACATTTACATTTACCAATCAAAGCATATCTAAACAGGAAATATGGGAATGCTATGCCAGATCAGGCCCTTTTTTCGCTTATAGGTAAGAACACATTTCACTTCTTAAAAGCTAAGTTATTGAGCGATTTTTTCTTTCTCATACTTATGTTTCCAGTTTATTTTAAATTTGATTTTTCCCCGTATCAGATTTTACATAATTGCTCCTTGAAAAGATAAATAATCGTCTACCATCTTCAATAAACTCAATATGGTGTCCTTTTAACTGCTCTTTTAAAAAGTAAAAAAAAAAATATGACGCCAGAGAGTTAGTGATTGAATTGTGTTAAAATTGTAGAATCAAATTTTGAAAATCTTTACAACCATGGAAAATGTTATCTAAATTTTATTTTGGTTTAACCAATTGAATTTGTTCGTGTAATGAAGTTATTCATTACGTCTAACTACATTTAATTGCAAACCCAAATTTATTCACTGTCCACTCTTATCCAGTGATGGCTCAAATTTCACGCCCTCCGTCCCGGTCGAAACATTTGGCAGTACCTCCGTATGTGATGTAATCTAAAAACAAAGTTTTCTACCCCAGGCATAGTCTGCCCAAGCCTTATTTGACAACTTTTCGGAGTTTTTGGGTTTACAATACTCATCGACTTTGAATTTTATTTGACCTTCGAACTCTTTTGATTAAAGCGCCAATTATGAGTCTTATGTATACAAAACGGGCGGCTGGCGTTCCAAATTATAACCATAGTAGCTTTGATGAGTTATTTGTACATATTAATGTTTACTTAATAATATCTTCCAACTATTTGTTAGTTTGGGGCATTACGTTTTATCCTTGTCCGTCTGTACTTCCGTATGTCCGTCCGTACGTCCCAAAATTGGTTTCCGTTCTCTAACTTTAGTTTCCTCACCCAAATGTTATGAAAGTTATGCACAATGCTTATTAACACAAAACACAGATCAATTTTGAATTTCGGTGGCGTCACTTTTACTGTTCTAGAGTTATGCCCTTTACAAATGACAAATTGCTGAATTTTTCGTTTCCGTTCTCTTACTTAAGTTTTCCTTAATAAAATGTTATTAAACTTATACACAATGCTTATTACTACAAAACACAGTTCAAGTTTGAATTTTGGTGGCGTCACTTTTACCGTTCTAGAGTTATGTCCCTTTACAAATGGAAAAAATGCTGCATTTTTAGTTTCCATTCTCTAACTTTAGTTTGTCTCAACTAAATGTTATTAAACTTATACACAATGCTTATCACACCAAAACACAGATCAACTGAATTTTGGTGGCGTCACGGTTACCGTTCTAGAGTTATGTCCCTTTACAAATGGAAAAAATTGCTGAATTGTTCGTTTCTGTTCTCTAACTGAAGTTTGCCTCAACCAAATGTTATGAAACTTATACACAATGCTTTTTACCACAAAACTCTGATCAAGTACAAATTTGGGTAGCATCACTTCTACGGTTCTTGAGTTATGTCCCTTTATAACGTTATATGCAAGCGGGGGCATCATCTGTGTCCCATGGACACAGTCCCCATTTATTTAAATTTAAAACAAAATCATCCCTTTGTAAATTTTACGGACGCCATCACGAGTTGGTTGACCGTTATGGAATACCTGTTTCAAAGATGACAACGGATATGTTCCAATTGTCGTAACTACAATCCCGTCCCCTTTTCCCCGAATGTGACCTACCGAACTAGACTTATCACCGAGTTTGTACTAAAATGAGCAACACGACGGGTGCCACATGTGGAGCAGCGTCTGCTTACCCTTCAGGAGCACATGGGATCCCCCCAGGTTTTGGTGTGGTTCGCGTTGCTCAGTCTTTAGTTTTCCATGTTGTGTTTTGTGTACTGTCAGTTGGTCTTTTTCTTTTTTAGGCATGGCGTTGTCAGTTTATTTTCGACTGAAAAGTTTGAATGTCCCTTTGGTATCTTTCGCATCTCATTTATTATTCTTGTGATTCTCCACCTCTCTTTCGACGGAGAAATTATGTAACTGTTGGTTTGCTAACATAAAATGCATAAGTGAAATAGAAATAATCTTGTTATATATCATGTAAACAGGCGAAAGCTGAATGAAACTTACGTTGAATATAGATGTGAAAAACGCCCACTTGTTCCGATTAAAAGTGATGGAGTCATACGTGTAGTTTTTGGATCGCAATGGGGTGAGTTTTTGTAATTGAAGGGATGGGGTCTGCGAAATCGGGACTTCATGAATTGGGGTTTTTGACCCAACGTAACATTCACATTATCAACTGGCTTATGATATTGATAGTGAAGAAATAAAGTGAACACTTTTGTCAAGTGCAATTATTTCTTCTTTCAATTGTCGTAAACCAAACTTAAGCTGCTTTTTTTCGAGAGACTTGATACTCTTACGCCATACAAATACAACTGTATACAAGAAAACAAAACTGAACATTTAGTTTTTGCTTGACCAGAATGAAGAATGAGTGGTCTTGTCAATGTTGGTTATTTTTGGTGTTCTTTTTATTTTACTCATTTCCAATAGAAACATTTTTTTTTCACTTTCCCTATGACATAATTGTTTCCAGGAAATTAAGAATCAGACAATTATATTTTTTCTTATTTAAACAAATACATTGTATGTCAACAAAAAAAGATGAACGGTCGATGCCTTATCAAAAACAGAGTGGAAACAATTGGTTATATAACTTTCTAGACTATTCTATCTCTTATTAGTCTTATTTGAAATGTGAATGTAACCGGACAATTATCGAATGCGTTAGATTTAAATATTTCTAGCAAAGTAACACTGAATTGTCATCAATAGTTTAATGATAGTGGATTAAAAACCCAACTCAGAAAGGTTAATGATACTAATTATTACTGAAACATGCATTGTCACATACAAAGACTTTAACATAATCATAATTTCAATTTTATAGAGCATTTTGCTGAACCACCAACTATATGCGATGTTTGCAACGGAAAATTAACAGTTAGTCCTGTGATTAAAGGTATGTCAATTTTTCCAGTTTATAAAAAAATGTTTGTTTCGGTCGGGAACATTTTCATTTTGGCAATTGCACGTAGACTATGTGGGGCAATGACAATAGCCTTCTTGGTTGGTTTGCTATAAACGACTGTTATACAAGTGGGAGGTTAAGCTAGATATAAAACCAGGTTTAAACCACCATTTTCTTCGGAAAATGCCTGTTCCAAGTCAGGAATATGACAGTTGTTTCTCACTCGTTCCGTTGATTGTTAACGTTTGATTTTGTAAGTTTTTATTGACTTCCTCTTTTTGAAATTAACTTGGAGTTTGGTATATTTGTTATAATTGTTTGCTTCTACATTTTTCCTATTTCAGGAGGAAGGTTAACAACAAATCAATGTTTCAGTCCTCAAATATTACACATGTGCAAATTTTGGGCATCAGATCTTTTCAAAAGAATTCAGATGCTAGCTGATAAAAGTTATTTAAAAGAGGCGAAAGATACTAAAGGGATACAAAAGTCAAAAATAAACTGACAACTCGTTCATGGCAAAAAAAAAAAAAAAAGAGAAAAAGAAAAAGAAAAGGACCAAAAGACAAATAACAGTACACAAAACACAACATAGAAAACTAAAGACTGAGTAACATGAACCCCATCAAACATCGTGGCTGAAAGTGCTCCGGAAAGGTAAACATATCCTCCTCCATATGTGGCACCCGTTTAAACTACCAAATGAAAAAAAAACTGAAAATGAAATGACTGGAGGTTTCGTTGTTGGGTACTTTTACCAACACCACTATTTTGCGTATTTTTGTCTATTTTCGATAACATTTAATATCAATTGCAAAAATTTAAGGCAACCGTTAAATTCATAGTTAGTAATATATCTTTTATTAAAAGAAAGCTAAAAAAGGGCGTCCCATTGCTGTAAAGATTAGGAAGTAAAGAGAAAGGACGCAGAAAATAAATTAACCAAAGAATTACCGCCTTGTTTTAAAATGCTTATTATTGTTTTCATTTTTAGATGTGTCTGCAAGTGAGTAGGCCTTACAATACTTTTACACAAATTATTTATTATATAATCACATAAAAATAATGTTTTTACAATCGACTATGAAATAGGTCATTTTTCCTAGTGAAAGTTAAATAATACAACAATTATTTTCATTAGGCTTGAAATGTTAGAAAATTTAACTTTATATACAGCATTGTACTGACTTGATGTTCTGAATAATAATCTTCGTAATCAATTTGTTGGTCTTTATGTTACAAGGTTTTGGTTCGTTTGATTTTTAATTCGCTCGTAAACGACATTTTTATGATAATCTGTTATTTCGCTGCCCGAAAAGTTTCCTTTCGAGCATGTCTTGTGATAACCAATTATTTCCAACGTTTTTACACAGAGTTTGCTTTTGTAAAGGCATGCTATCTTTCTTCGATTTAGAATATTTTTGATTCAGTGATGCATGCCTTGTGGAATTTTATTAAAAAAGAGGATAATCAGGATAATGTGTTTAGGATAGCTCTAGTTTTGAAATGTTGCATTTATATTTATTTCTATAAAGACAAGCTCCTTTCTGAATTTGACGGTTTTATGATTGTCGTTCCAGTCAGGAGTCATTAATAATTGAACACCTGACGTTGTTAAAAACGGATGAGTAATGTTTTTTTTTATTTTTGTATCAGAGTCATCGTTAAATGGCTCTATTATTCTTTTTTTTTATATATATATTTGTACCTTAATCTGGCTTGAATTCATGGAAATTCTCAGTTCCTTGATTTGTCTCTTCCAAATCGGTTTATGAGATTTGAACATCGGTAAACTTCTGGCGTCTTAATCTAAGCTGAATTTTGGATAAGGTGTTTAAAAGTAAACAACAACACATTTGTTTCCTTTTATTCTATTAGTTTATTTTGAAATACTCCCTTGATATGTGTGATTTTAACCATATGAAATGTAATTAAAAGAAGGAATGCTAGCTAGTGGTAGATTGGAAAATTGTTTAAGTGATTATTTCGAAGCCAGCCACAACCTTCTTCATTCACTATAAAAGGAATGCCGAGACATTTGACTATGTATGTATAAGAGAGAGGCGAAAGATACTAAAAGGGACATTCAACAATGTATCATATGGATGATCCTTATTGAGTCAGTATTTGAAATAGTAGTATTATACATAACAAAAACAACAAAAAAGGATCTTTTTACGTGGTTTTCTGACGGAATTGTGTAGGAATCTTTGACACACTTCGGAAATGGTTAGCAATGCGTGATGAAATTAATAATTATATCTTTTAAGGATTGCGAAGAATTGTGTTTAAATTAATGAAAAGACCAATGACATTGAAATGTATATAACACTTATTTTCTTTTAGAATGCGGAGAAGGTAAGTACATTCTAAATATCTTTACACTATAAAAGTTTTGTCTTCATGAGCCGGGCCTAGAAGGCCGAGTGGTCTAAGAAGTTCATCTTCAGTGATACGCAGCCTGTCAACACTGAGGTTTTGAGTTCGTGTTGAATTTTAAGATTAGTTATACTCCGATCTTATTTGACTAAACACCCATAATCAATCCATGAATCATCATGACCCGTATTTTCTTTGTAGGTTGTTGAATCCGAAGTACGTTCTTATTTTACTAAGTTACGTGAAGTTATATCGAATCGTCAGCAAGATGATCTACTATTCGTGTTCATCAAAGGATAATTGATATCATGAGTAGTGTGTAGTACACGTCAAAAACATAGACACTCAATGACACAAAAACTAGAAAACCACTAGTCTATGAAATCAACACACAGTCGTCAACAATACACAAGTCAACATGTCTAGCTCTAACTTGATTAATAGCTAATGCATAACGGAATTATACGTGAATGAGTTTTTGGCTATGTGATTTGTGAAAACTAATCACATGTTGTTCTACTGACTCTATATTTTACATAATTCTCCAATGCTCAATATGAATATGAAACATTCATTGAAAAATAAAATCAAAATCTAGTTATTTGAAATACAGACTTACACTATGAAAATTTACTATGGCAAGTTCAAACGGAAGTTAATTTATATCGGAAGCTCACATGACATAAAGTACAAGCCTGTGTTACTTTAGATTTTAAAACATGTACAATATCCAGCTTAAAACCGGAAATTCTCTACAAAATAAATTGATGCACAGAATTTACTATTTCCCTGTAAATAGAATATCTCCATTTTTAATACTTTTTCCCTGTATATAGAATATTGCCATTTTTTTAATACTATCTTCCTGTATATAGAATATTTCAATTTTTTTTAATAATATTTCCCCATATATAGAATATTTCAATTTTTTTAATACTATTTTCCTGTATATAGAAGATTTCTATTTTTTTATACTATTTCCCTATATATAGAATATTTCCATTTAAAAAAACTAAATGTAGTAAAGACTAGAAGTTTTTCAATGCTTTACTTTAATTCTAAATCTGTATGGTTTTGCCTGTTGGTACGCTGATATGTTTACTTAGATCGCTTACTTATTGCTAAAGTAGCACTAAATTTTGAAAAAAAAAGAAAAATAATATTGTATGAATATGATTATGTACTGACGGTATAGTTATATACAAAAAAAAACATGGCACTTAAAAAAGCCGTAATCGCGTGAACTCCAAACCGATGGAACACAGATATGTCGACAAAGTAAGCATCGACTATCAGAAAAAACAGTCAGATAAATATTTTTTTTATATCTTACAGTACAATTGCCAGGTGAGTTATTCTAAACATATTAAAATTTTATTATATAGAATAGCACAAGTTTATGGTTAATAACATACAAAACACATTTACCAAACAAAGTTTACTTTTGGATATATTTATCAATACATTAATTTTATTAAACTCAACAAAGCAATACCTTACTAATTTTCTGTTGCGTTAACGCGTCATTTTTTTAATTTCTAAAATAAACTATTGTGGGCATTAATTATAAAAATTGTAAGTGTTCATCATGATCACACACGAGAATAATTAATGCGATATTTGAAATAAATGTATGAGTAATGATGCTTAAATTAAAATACGAGTTTTAATTATTTAGAAAATTATTTCATAACATTTTTCGCAATAATTTCTTAATTGACATTTCATGAACATTAAAAAAAAATATTGATAAACTATTGGTACATTGAAGTGAAAGTGCGTTTTTTTATATGTAAATACGTAAAGCAACCAACAATCAATCATTTTGTATAAATAATTTTGACACAATATGAAAAATTCAGGATATACACCTATACAAGCAAAAAACAATCATTCAAAATACAACTATGACTAAATAATGGAGTAAGCAGTAGGTACTAAACTAACCCAGATTTTGATGAAAATAACAATTAATAATTTGGTTGAATTTGTTTTTCTCATGTTCTGCTAGTAAAGTTTGATAAGTTATTCATCAAGTCAAAAGACAAAAATAAAATAAAAGAAGATAAAATATAAAAAGATAACAATATCTATTTAGCACTGTTCTGTATCAAGAATTTGTGTTCTTGGAGTGCTTGGGCTTTTTTAACCTACAGTGCCATATAATGTTATATTATTTTTAATGTCAGAAAAATATGTCTTCCTAATCACAAGTATAACTCCTTCTTTGAAACACAGAAATAAAGTTGCAACAATTGCTACCAATTAAAACATATAGATATTTAAGTGAAACTGACATTTTGTTTATTTTTGTTTCTAGATGTTGGTTGTAATATCCCAAGTGTTTGTCTGATTCAGGATACGCAGAGACAGACTCGATGCGAATGCGAGCCATATGAAGTTGATGATGGACTTTGTTGTGATATTTGATGTAAAATTTAAAAAAAACATGAATCCAGGATGAAAATAAAGTATTTCTATTACGTCCTTGTTATTACTCGTTTTATTTTTATTTTTCTGTTTATCTTTTTGAATGCTCACACGAATCCAGATAAATTCCAAATCATATTAGCTCCATTTAATGGCAAAAAACCGTCCACAGCAATCTACAGAAAACCA